CGCAGAGGCTCACGTATTCACCGTGGAGGGGGTTGGAAAGTGTCCGGGAACTGGTGTTGCACTGCAGGGCTCATCCCAGCGAAGTGAGAGTGCGGAGTTGGCGAGAAGAGGAAGGAATGCTCCTCTCAGCTGTGCTGGCTCTGCGCTAGGACTTGAGAGAAGTTTGTGTTGCACTGGTGAACTGCCACGGGTGTTCATGCAGCTTTAAATCGGCAGTCGAGTGCTTTACAAGGGATTGTCACTTAGAATAGCTGAGAATTTTTATTCCACTTCCCCTCTCCAAAAAAAAATCGTGTCTCATAAGGCTCAGTTGGTAAGAAAATCGAGGATTTTTTTTTTTAATGCTGTAAGCTTAACTATTTCTCTGTGTTTAGTCTTTCTGGGAAGAAGTCACCAGTAGTGTTTGCATCCATCATTTTGCTGTTTACTTGTATTTTTTCATACTAGATGAGGGAAGAGATTAGTTGCCTACAGTTAATCAATCACACTTCGAGAAAATTCATCAACACTAGTACATTTTGATGGAAGCAAAGTAAAGGTGGTTTAGGTCAAAGTAACTTCTCAGTCTCCAGTTGCTCAGTACTCTGGAAAACCCTCTCCTCCATACCCTTTTTTTTTTTTTCTTCTATGCATCTGTTTGCCATATTGTATCCTGTTTGCAAAGATAGAAATGTACTTATTTAAATGGACTGTGTAACATTTCATGCTCTTATTGTGGCGGTTAATCAATAGTTTTCAAAAGTTAAATTGGATCTGGAGTATAGAGAGAAACTGTTTCCAGATTAGTTAATTTTATTAAGTAATGATCATACCCATTCTTAATAAACCATTAATTTGGCTCTAACTTGCTGTTCAACCTAGTTCAAATGACAGCACAGAAATCGCTGTCATATATTGTAATGTCACATAATACAGTCACTGTAATTTCTTCAAATTAATCTCGGAATAGTGATGTGCTTTTGCAAATTTTTTTATACTCGATGATGCTTAGTAAGACACTTTGAAGAAACATTCAGTTTATAAACCATCCCAACAGTAATTTATTTTCTAGTCTCTCATCTTTGTCTATTGCCAAGGACATTTGTATCCAAACAACATTTTTGTTATGTGTTCATGGCTCCCTGCTGTTTGATCACCTAGCTGAAGTCCTAATCTTCTGTTTGTGACACGATAGTAATTTTCCTACTGGCTAATTGTTACCTTAGATAGAGATAAACAGCAGGAAGAGCTGAACTCTTGAAGAAGTAAAAATCGAATTTTAATGCATGCATCCTCCCTGATAAACAGCATCTATGCAAGTAGAATTGGTTTGAATAAGATCCGTTGAGTTCAGAAGGTGTCAGCAGTTCCTTAATGAGGCAGAGGCAGTGCCAGCATGAGTATGAATAAGTTTATATATGAAAGTAGAGGTGAAGGTATGAAGTTCACTATTTGGTTTGTGAATTCAGTGCTGTGAAGGATGCCAAGGAGCTGGAGACTGAAACTCAGAAAATGTCGTAGTGTATGTTTGTGGATTGCAGCATCCTCTCTGCCGACAGAACTAGCCTCCCTGTTCTAGTTGCGTTAAAAAAACAAAAAGACAAAGGTTTACAACAACTGGATTGTGATCATTAGTCTGAGAAAGCTGTGGTAGACTCATTTACCAATCTGGAAAGGAATAAAATTGGTAACATGGAAGTGCAGTGCCCTGTAAAGTAATGAGGTCTTGAAGAAGTACCAGGCTGTTGCTAGCCAGAAGTGTATGCACAGGGCAAGGCACCTGTCTTTCAAAGTCGTCCAAGGTCTGTGATAAGGCAGAGCCTACTAACGTTTTCAGGGCAGGTACTTGCATTTCGAAGAGACAGGAGGTTACTGTCATGACAGCTTGCTGTGGAGGTTCTGTGGTTTGAGGTGGCTTTTTTTTTTTCATAATCTGGCTGATGGAAGAGAGGAGTCACTTTCCTGGAACCTCTTGACCCTTGTCACAGTCTGGTCTCTGTTCTCCCTTGTCCCGTGGTTTGATTTGGAGGATTGGGCTTCCTCCTCTGACCATCAGCAGTGCTTCTTGAAGCTGCTCCCCGAGGGTGCGTATGGAGGAGTGAGTTACAGCTGCTTCATGGCAGCTTTGCTGTATTCTTCATGACAGCTGTGAAACCAATCAGGATCTTGTTAGATAATTGACAGTTGCAGAGAGGCAATAGCAGTGGCGTCACATCTGTCAGGGAGCTACAGATAAGTGTGAAACTGAGGTTTCAACTTTTTAATAAGTGATAGAGTTCTTCCTTCTCTTCCAGAAATAGGTCTCCAGTCAGCGTGTAATTGCTGTTTTGGTTTTAAACCCTGATTATGCAGACAGGACATAAAGATCTTGTTTGAATAGAAATGTTATAAATGATGATTGTACAGACATACTGAACGTTGCAGACCTGTGTGCTTAAGGTTAGTAAGTGAAGAAATTAAAATGCCTGTTTGGTAATGGGCATTTTAAAACTACTGCTTCCCTCTTATGTGTTCCGTAGAGGGTTGGTTTTAATATTGTTATTAATATTGTTATTGTTTTATTTGGTTTTAATCTGTTGTTACTTGTTTTTAATAAACATCATCTTTGCTTTTTTATATCTTTTTGAATAGACTTGTTTGCATACAGTTTAGAAGAGCTTAATGTTCAAGACTTGCCAAGCTGTCGCTGGAGGTGTTTGCTGTATCTATTTTTCTGCTAGAACTCAGAGCAGGGGACAAGGAATAGGCTTTGTACTTCTGATGCTCTCAAGCTGGAGATGAAGGGTGGCGTTTCCAGCTGGAGTTATGCTTTTACCTTCAGGCAAAGAGTCTCTTCACCTAGGACTGTACAGTACTTAAGTTTTGTCAATGAGACTTGGAAATACCTTTTTTTTTTTTTTTTGTAGTCATCATGGTCTATTTCTTCACCCAAACTTGAATCAACCATATTCTAGTCATGTTTTTTTCAGTGTATGATTCTTCAGAAATCAGTGTGCCTTTGTCTGCTGTGATTTTCAATGCGTTTTTGTCTTTCATCTCTCCATAGAACAGTCTAAAATTAGCATGATCTAAAGGCGTTACAAAATCCACCATTACTTTAATAGTTTTTGCAATTGCATCTCTGTGATATAGTTTGCTTATCATCAGATTGCTTTAGCTTTTCTTTAAAACTGAAAAATTAGGACTTAGAAAATTAGATGTACTTTTTTGCTATGTCTTGGAGGTAAGGTGAAGTAGCATTTCCGGCAAGGTGCACGTTCTGGGTGCATGGGTGAAGCTGCGTATATCTGGTCAGAGATGTATGCAGATAATGGGCTTCTTGTATCCTTCAGTGGGAGTTATATAAAGATATTCAGGTGAAAAGCTTTCTTCATGTTTCACACCAATACTGGTTAGAGGGGTGTTAACTGTATTCGTGTTTCCTTTTTCCCTAGTGAATTGATTACATCTGTATTTCCTGAGTTCTAGGTAAGGAATTTGTCTAGAAGCTGTAGAATGGGTAGACGTTGTTTTTGGCAGGAAGATAGGTCAGGATCTGGAGCTTAGGAAACTTTTAAACTCTCTGTCTTTGGGAGTTGGAGAAATCTGATTCCTTTGGACATCTGTAATCCACCTTTATGATGATGTCGCATCTCAAAAATGCTAGCTTCAAAAATATCTGCTGCGATGCACATAGTATGAGATTTGCTTTTTAGTTCAAATCAAATAGAGCAAAGCTGATTTTTTTTTTTTTTTCCTTCTGAGGGAGTGGGGTGGGGGAAGAAAACGGGGAGAAACAGGTCTCGGATTCTGATCTGTCACCATTCATCTCCTCTGGCAGGCAGTCTGCAGACTTAAACATTGTATTCTTTGTCCCCAGCAGATTTAACCTTATTAATTTCCTATGAAATGCTAAATACTTGGGTTGCTTTGCTGGTGGCTTCTTCAAAAGAGTCCACTTCCTTGTACTGTAGGGAGGGGTATGTGGTGTTGTTGTGTGGCACCAGAAATGCAGTTGTTACTGAATCTTTGTTGCATGCTCCTGCTTCTGGCTGAGCAGGTGGCTCTGCCGTGCCTGGGAGCGTGCTCAGCTCCTCTCCCAGCTCTCCTACTGGGGAGCCCTCACGCTTCAACCAGCTCACCTGAGAGAGGTTTGGTTATAAACTGCACGTGACTGTTGAAATTCTTTGCTGCCACCCACTTCTTAGATGGCACTTGAGGGCCTTCTGTACTTTGAAGGCAGATGTTGCCAGTGAAGCAGAATTTGCCTTGGTAAGGAATTTCCTGTGGATGGACTTTTACGGATAAGTGATAGAAGTTGCTTAGAAAGACGTGGGGGGATGCAGCTGCCTTGCAGACTTCGGGAATGGTCTGCTCGCATTCACGTGAAGCAGTTGGCATTGCTCGCTTAACATGTGAGCCCTTGAACCTAAACGGTATGGCTCACCAAGGGTGACTCCTGGTGTGTGGACGTGAGGTTTAGGATGAGCATGCAGTGAATACCTCCACTTTTTCTGTGCTGAGTGCTTTGTAGTGATGACTCTTCTAGAGGGTAATTGCTGTTAGGTGAAAAAAAATACAGTCTCTAATAATGAACTTTATTTTTTTCAACTTATACCTCACTTGTGTAGTTTCAGAGTATACCACTTGCTGAGTTACAGAATACGCAGTGCTCTAAACAAAGCAGCTGTGTCATTCTTTTGTGGTAATTGTCCAAGGCTCGGAACGGGAAAGCGTTGCATCTCTAATGGATTGTACATAAGTGCTGGGTATTGACACCCTAAATATGAAGTAACATTTTTCTATTTATATATTTGGCAGGCAAGCTGACAGAGAGCCTTCATTAAGCTCTCTAGATATTCTTGTAGTTTATAAATATTTATGGCAAGAGATTCACAATGTGAACAGGCTCGATATTTGTTTCACGTGGACAGAACTTGGTCTGAACACAGTGATGGTGTTTCCAAGTAGAAATGCACTTGTCATCATTTCTGCTTTTCCTTATGTTCTCCTGTGAGACAATTATGAAAATAGGGTAGGTTTTTTGTCTCCTGGTGATTATCTTGCTACAGACCTTGCTATTTCAATGTAATTGACACAGTCCCCCACCAGTTTTGAAATGGAGTCAAGCCTACCAGTCTGTAAGAGAACAGCAATACTGTAATACCTTTTCCCATTTGATTTATAATACAGTTTTAAGAACGTACCATTCAAAGTGTAGGTTAAAAGAATCAGTGGTTTAGTTAGTAATACCTTGTTTCCTTTGCAAAATGTTATGAACTATTTGGAGAAAGAGGCATGTCAGTTTAAAAGTTGGAATGCTTTCTGAGCTTCATTATTTGTACAGAGAGAACAATAAGAAAATGTTTTTAATATAAACAGACATGGAAAATGGCAACATTGTTACAGATTTTTTTAGTATCTTGTTACAGGATCACATTACCTAAATAGAATTACTCCCTTGTGATATAATCAATGTGGCAGAAATGGGATTATAGTTTTAATTCAGTTTATGAAGGCCCTGTGTGAGCTCTTGATGTCAGATTTGAAAAGAAATCATATTTGAGACAGAAAATCTTAATCAAGTAGCTATATAATTTTACTTAATCAAAAGTCATTTGTTTTGCTTCTCTATGATACCAAAATATAATTTTCTTCTTTATATTTTATCTCTTACTCCTTCCCCAACCTGTTCCCAGAGGAAAAACAGTTTGCATGTTGGTTTGTGGGGTTTTTTTGTTGTTGTTGTTGTTGTGGGTGGTTTTTGGTTTTTTTCCCAGAAAAGTGTTTACCCTTCTAGAACACCTCAATAAAAAGTGTCCTCCTCTGTCCATTGTAAAAGAGTTTAGGCTTCTGGAAGGTGGCTGGTGTGTTTGCTTGAATTCTGGAAGCTAAGAGGATGTGGAAGGTAACAGGTGTCATGGCATTTCAGACATTTTTCCTTTGTTGTTCTGTCAAAGCAGTGAATAAAACTCTTGCTTGTACTCATAGTGTTAGTGTTAATTAAAATGTTAACACTTTGGAAAGCCAAGAATCCTCTTGGCCACACATGTATTAATAGAGTAGGAATATTAAGAATAATAGAAGAGTAGGAATTTGTAAACCTTGTAGTGACTCTTATGTGAATTTGGAAGATGCACTGGTGTTCTAATATCTCAGAAACTTAACTGAGGCTCAACAGTTAGCCTTTACCCTGTAGGTAATGGTAAAATTCATCAGTAAAATAATTGCAAGTTGCATGGTTTTGTGTTTGTGGGTTTGTGTTTCTTTTGGATTACCAGAAAGGAGTCACATTCAATATGAAAAAGACCAGATTGTTCAACTTTTTCGAGGGACCCTAGGTGTTTGTGTGGTTTTGTTCTCTTTTTTTTTTTTTTTTTTTTTTACGTGTCACTACATCTAATGTAAGCCCACTGAAGATTTGACATTAATAGTGCTGGAATTCGAGTGCTTTTGAGAGTTAAAAAAAAAAAAAGACATAGGTCCAACTGTGTTTCCAAAAAAAAAAAAAAATCAAATGTGTAATAATTTTCAAAAGTCTTGAAGTTTGTGCACATAGAATCATCATTTCTCCTTATCCTTTAAAAACAGTCCCTAACTGTTCATTTGAACTGGTAATTGTTATTTATTATAGTAATCTGTGGTAAACTCAATAGTCTTAAGAATGTAAGTGTTTAAAATGTAATTTTGGTTTGAAAACTTTTTTCCTTTGGCTGGTGGAAAGTTGTTTTACACTTGCACTGTGAGTAATTTTTTTAAATTTTTCTTATACTGAACTAGAAAATAATTTTAGGAATCCTTCATATTTTTTCAAAGTTTTTGATACTGCCTTGTCATGAAGGAAGTATTTTATCTGCATGGGAGACAAAACCTGTAGAATTTTTTTTACTAGTTGGAGGCATGGCTTATTTTATTCTCAATATTTCTTTATGATGGATGAACTGACAAAGATGCCATTCACCAAGTTTAGTCTGGAAAGTATGCCACAAAGAAATCATTGGATAGCTGATATGTTCTTTGTTGAAAAATTGCAGAGAAGTGGGGATGAAAATGTGATAAGCCTTTGAGGCAGTACTGCTGCTTCCCCCACCCCCTCCACCACAAATCAGTCCGCTGTTATGTCCCAGCTGAGGGCTGTCACTTACTTCTGTGAGGTACTTGACAGTGCTGGCAACTTTCTGTTTTGTGGGTCATTCTGTCCTCCAGTTGGGGTCTTTTGAGCTAAATTCTGTGTTCATGCTTTACAGCAACTATCTGATAGTGCTTCAAAAATCTAAACAAACAAAAAACCCCAACCGTGGAACAGAATAAATAAATGTAAAAAGTTTTGTTTTTTACCTGAAGAGACAAACTGACAGTCTGAAGAAATATTTTGTAAATACTAGGCATGCCAGCTCAGATAAATTGCTGAAGGTCATCTAAGGGTAGCTCAGTGCCTATGAACTTCTTGTCAATGTGGAAAAAGACTTTGTTAGTTTAAAGGTAAACCAGTGTGCTGTTGCTCAGGGTGTGGATTTTTTTTGTTCCATGTGGAACTATTAGCAACCTGGGTGAATCCACTTGGCTGGGGCTATTCCCACACAGTGTCTGCCAGTATAACTAGGGTCCTCCAGCTGTGGAGGCAAGTGGGACTGAGAGCAGAGGCGACTGGAGGGTAAATGCTTCCAGGTCACTCTTGACTCGATGTGCACCCTGAAACACATGTGCTGTCCGGGCTGGAATGGCTTATGAACTGTGATCACTTTACACTAGCAACTTTAGAGCATTCCCACCTCAGCTTGCAAGGGTGTACAAGGTGTATCCTGCAACCTTTAGTTTTCTTAAACTTTGGGAAATGCGCTGCCTCTGTCACAGCGTCACAGTGGTGTGTCTCAAGGCTCTAATTCAGTGGAGGGACTTAAGCTATGCATGGTCTTTCAACAGCTTCATGAGGGATATGACAGAAGCTTTTGGTTTGTTTTCTTCGTGTTAGAAGCTCTGTAGGAAATGATGACGCCAGAAAGTGTGAAGGGTAGTGTTTTGTTTCAGTGTGATCAAGTTGTCTTATCTATTGTCATATGGCTCGAAGTTTGGATTGCAAAATATCATCCCTGTTCAGATGGGGATTCTAATTGGTGCAGTATAGCAAAACAAGGTTTCTTTTTCTGCGTGAGTGAAGGTGTGTGCTTGGGAGAACTGTCAGAAACATACCTTGCAGACAGGAGATGCTTTGCAGCAGTCTACATGTATACTAACTTTTTCATTAAGCAGATTGTGTGGATTTAAACATGGGTGTCTCCAGTAGAGCTAGGGAAGTATTGCCAATGTGCGTGGAACTGGTATGACTTCATCTGTAGTGCTGTGTGTTATTCTGACGGCTGTTTGAGAAACCGGGAGAGTGTTGAAGGAAGGTTATGAGGACATCTGAGGAAATCGGAAGTGTAACATTGAGGTTCTGCAGACATTCATGTGGATCATGGTACTACTTGGTCACACATCCCTTGGAGCCTTCCTGCTTTCCAGAGTCTGGCTGGCCCAGGAAATTGTACAGTGCTGCTGCCAGCTCACCTTTATTTTCTTGTCACTTTTGTGGCTCCCTCTTGTAAGCAGCAGGGTAATGGAAGAAGGTGGTAGTGTTATATGGCAGTGCAGCTGCAAGCAGATGCCTGACCAGGGAGCCTAGCGCTCTGCTCATCCTAGGCTGTTGTCAGCGAGACAGATTCAGCATATCAAGTTATAAAGATGTCAGCTACCAGTCAAAGTGGTGTGTTTTATCCCCATGAGAGTGCAATGGAAAGAACTTCAGAGTAGGAGAGTTAATGTAAGGGAAAGATGAGCCGAGTCACCTTTCCCTTGCTGAGACAGAGGATTGGTGTGAATGTGCTACCCAACACTGAGAAAAGACGTACTGCGGTAATTTGGAAATCATCAGCTGCTGGCTGTATGGCTCTGGTGCCAGTAGGATAATTTGACAGGCAGTGCCTGCCATTCAGAAAGTTATTTGCCTGTGATATGCTAGAGTTTGTGATGTACATCAATCGTGTGTGCTTTTGCTATGCTCTGCCAGGTCTGTAGGCTTTCCGTGGCTGGACCCGGTACTCTTTTCTTTTTTTTTTTTTTTTTTTTTTTTTTTTTCCTCCTCCTCTCATTCTCTTGCCTCCCTACTTCTAGCTCTTTAGTAAGAATCTATTTACTGTTATTAAGCAGGATAAAGGATGACTTTACTGCCTTTGTACCAGCTAGACTTGCAGATGTCTAGTTATCCACAGCTCCTATATGGCCGGAGGCTTGGAAAACTGACAGTAGAGGATTGGTGCAGAATCCAAGTGCAGTTGTTGCTGCTCGGTGGGTCGCTTTTGCACTGATGTTTTTACTTATCTCATTCACTGGCAACCCTGACTGTTCCTGTGGCCTTTCAAATTACCATCTGAACAGCCCTTGGATGACTTTAGCATGT